TATTATGTTATTGTTGCTATAATTTCAAAAAATAAAGATGGCATATATTTATGATTAAGAATTTATTCAAAATTCTGCTTGATATTAGAAACAAGAAAACATAAAATGATTCTATGTCTCACTTTGACCTATTGTGTTATATTGAGCAATGCAACTATTTCCCATCATGACAGCACAGTCATTAAATAGAATGGGACCACTCACAACTCAATTTTCCTAATACCTGGATCTCCTTGTATTCAGTTATTAAACCATGAAGTCACACTAGAAACATTATTATTAGTTAGCTATTATTAGTTTTTGTCTACTGACAAGTATCTTCTAATGGTGCCTGGAAAGCATATGAGTTCTCTTACAGTTATAAATATTAGCAAAAATTAATATAGCCACTATGAAGAACAGTATGGAATAGTCCTCAAAAACCCACAAACAAAGCTCCCATATAATCCAGCAATTCCATTATGAGGTATATATCCAAAATAAAGGAAATCAATATATGAAAGGGATATCTGTACTCCCATATTTATTGCAGCACTATTTACAATATTCAAATTATGAAATAAACCTAAGTGTTCATCAAGAGATGGATAGACAAAGTGTGGTGCATATATACACAATGGTATATTATTCGGCCATAAAAAAAGAATGAAAATCTGTCATTTGCAGAAACATTGATGGAACTGGAGGACCTTACGTTGAGTGACATAAGCCAAGCACAGAAAGATAAATATTGCATGTTCTCATTCATATTTGAGAGCTAAAAAAGTAGATCTTATAGAGACTAGATTGTTGGTTACCCTAGACTAGGAAGGGGAGACAAGGAGATGAAGGGAAAAATATCTATAAAGACATTTATTACCACTGAACTGTACATTTAAAAATGGTAAAAATGGGCTGCACATGGTAGCTTATGCCTGTAATTCAAATGCTTGAGAGTCCAAGGTGGGAGGATCCCTTGAGGCCTGGAATTTGAAGCCAGCCTGAGAAACATAGTGAGACCCCCATCTCTAAAAAATTAAAAACTAGCCAGGCATGGTGGTGTACTTCTGTAGTCCTAGCTAGTTGGGAGGCTGAGGTGGCAGGATTCCTTGATTCTAAAGTAGGCTATGATCATGCCATTGCACTCCCACCTGTGTGACAGAGTAAGACATTCTCTTAAACAGCAAAGAGGTACAGGTGGTAAACTATATACATAAGTTTTACCTCAATAAAAAGAAATAAACAAACAAAAATATTAGTAAGTCAAATCATCCTGCATTCTTGTTTCCCAATCAATAAAAAGAAAGTACCAAAATGGAGACAAGGGATATTCCACTAGATTTAAGCTTTTGTGTAACCGTTTATTCAATTCCAAAAGTAGGTTTTCCCATATAAGGTAAAAACCTTGTTTTCTCTCCACAATTATATTTATCCATAGAAATTAAAGGTGTCATTAACCTAAATCCTGTTAAAGCCTGGTCTGTGTTGGCACTCTCCAACCCACATGATAATTACTGCTGCTATATAAAGAAGGAGTTAAACTTTTCGTGAAATGTCTGCCCTCTAACTCTGCTCTTAAAATCATTCACACCTCTGAATTTGAGGCTGAGGGACTTGCAGCTTCCCATTTTAGCCCTAAGAGAGATTTGTTGCACTGGGCCTGAATTGCTCTTGACTGAAAAAGTTGATCATCGTTGAGTCCACAGGTAAGTGAGGAAGAGCCTGATCCTGGAGAATCACTTGAATTATTGCATTCATAAGAGGTTGAAGGTGTCATTAGAGATCCAGGGTGGGGGCCTTGCTGGAAAGATTTAGGAAAGCAGAGAAGCAAAGGATAAGTGAGCATGCTAAGTGTAAAGGGTCTTGCATCGAACATGATTTGTAGTTTTTGGCATCTATTATCTTTCTGGAAGAAAACACAATCAGTATATGCTTTGCTCTCTTCTAAAGTTGAGAAAGAAATGTATAAATATACCTGAAGCTATATTTGTGAGGTTGTTGGTGTGGATAAATCTGGAGGGTCAGTTGAAAGGAAAAAAGAAAGAAGGGAGGGAAGGAGGGAGGGAGGGAGAAAGCTAGGCAGGCAGGCAAGCAGTCAGGAAGGAGGGAGGGAGGGAAGGAGAGGGGGGAGGGGAGGGGAAGAGAAGGGAGGGGTGGGAAGGGAAGGGAAGGAAAGGGAGGGGAGGGGAGGGGAGGGGAGGGGAGGGAAGGGAAGAAGGAAGGAAGGAGGGAGGGAAGTAAACAGTTTTTATGGCCTTTACACTGTTTTCCTAATAAACTTTTTTTGTCATATAGGCACTGGGAAGGTAGACCTCAGCCTGATTCACGTAAAATCATTCCAAAGCTTGAATTTAGAAAGATCTGTATTAATGAAGTTTTATTGAATTTATAAAATGTCAGTGATCACATCACTGTAACTCAAAAGACACATCTCAAAGTAAACTTTCAGTTCTTCCAGAATGTAATGTGAAATGATGGCTGTGCCTCAAGGGCTGATTAGTGAATATTGCCATATCAACAGCTATTTCCTTGGCTTTCATCTCATGTTGTGCTTTTGCCTCTCCAAAATACGTTAGTGCACCTTATGGAAAGGCTCTTTGGTGATACTTGTCTGAGTACATAAGTAAAAGATTTTCAGGAAAATTAATAGCCTTGGTTATGATTTTGTGATGTTCTTGCAAGGTAATTGACAGAGAGATGCTTTGAAATGTGAACCAAAATGTCAGATTCATACCATTCCTTGTGTTCACACTATTCCTTTCTCTAAGTTCTGATTATGAGTTTAGCCTGGTGACTCTTTTTGTTTCTATCATAGCTACACCAAAGGCTCCCTATTCAAAATGGTGACCACAGATAAAATTTGAATTAAGAGCCATTCTGTGGTGATAAGGATAGCAGTGTTTTGGTTAGGGGTATAGTTCATTTATGAGGCTTCTCCATGAATCTCAAACATTTGAGTTGATATATTGTCCTAACATTTTGGGGGGGTCACTGTATTCACTACTGGAGTGAAGGATGTGAGAATGTTACAATGAAAAAAACCAAGTTCCAGGTGGGTTAATTGACTTTCCTATTGTCTCATGGCTAGTTAGTGTTAGAACCATGGTTAGATCCAGGGTCTTCTAGAGCCTGGTGATGAGTTATTTAAATTAGATTGCCATGAAATAGATATTGGGGCAGATGAATGAAAGGGGATACCATAGGGCTAAGAAAAGAATGAAAGAGAAAGAAAGAGGAAAGAAGGAAGGAAGGAAGGAAGGAAGGAGGGAGGGAGGGAGGGAGGGAGGGAGGGAGGGAGGGAGGGAGGGAGGGAAGGAGGGAGGGAAGGAAAAAAGGAAGGAAGGAGGGAAGGAAGAAGGACTCTAAAACTATTGGGAGAAAACAGAGGAACAAGCGAACAAGCATATTTTATTATATTCCATGCAAAGTGTATAATATTTATTATGTTACATATAGAACTTACGAGAGCAGCACATCATACACACATTTATTGCATATGACTCTAACCATTATTTTAAACAAATACAGCAGCAGCTATGATAAAATATGACATTTATATCAGATGGCTCCTAAATATAAAGTAATGGCTTCACTATTCAACTGAAGAAAAAAAATGAAAAAAATGATAGATCTGAAGGCTGGATGAATACATCAGCTGTGTTGGAAATTATGAAGTCCAATACAGTACATGCAAAACAAGTCAAAATATCAAGGATATTTCTGACTGTCTTATACTTTTTTCTTATACCCTGACTTTGAAATCAACACCCAAATAAGATGAAAATTTACAGTATTGAAGTCTTTTCCCTCTCATCAATAGAAATAAGGGAAAATTATGTGTGAATAGATTAATAGTTTAATTTTAAAGCAACAACTTCATCATAATTTTCAAATATTCCTGTCCAGAATGCCTTTCAGTAGGAAATACAGTGCACTATTTTTTTCACATAGTACTAAAATACATATTTTAAAATATATTTAAAAGTTGAAAAATAAGCTTTAGGCAAGACCATTTGTCTACTATATTTTGAACTTGAATCTTAATATTTCTTGTGGTTTTTTGCTCAAAATTGAATTGAATTTGATTATTCTTCAAATATTTTTTGAAATGTGGCATGCATACTGAAAAATACACGTAAGCATTTAAGAACTGAACAGTCCTATGTAAACAGCATAAAAATCATGTAACAAAACTTGACCAGCATCCTACCACGCCCAGATCTGAGTGCCTTTCTAATCACAATTTTCCAAAAGTAACCATTAACCTGACTTTTAACATCATAGATTAGTTCTGCCTCTTTCTGTACTTAATGCAAACAAATTCTTACTGCATTCTACTCATTTGTGTTTGTGAACTCATTCGTTGCTCAACATTATATGAGTGATAGTCATCTATTTGGTTTCACATGATTGTAAGTCACTCATTCACATTAATGTATAATGTTGTATTGTGAGAATAAATTTTAATACTACCTGTGTTTAAAATAGATGTATTAATTTGCAACCAGCCAGCAATGTACGAAGTTCAAGTGGCTATGCATGCTCCCCTAAACTTGATATTTTTGATCTTTTTTATTTTAGCATTCTGTTGGGCAAGCTTTGATTTTTTAAATTGATGAAATAAACCTCTTGCAAACTCATACCAAACAAAGGTCTTTATTGAAGAACAAGTGTGTGCTGGGGGTGGGAAGGGGCGATCTCTCATGAAGTGAAATGCTTCAACATCAACAAGTTCAAAGAAGAAATGCTGTTTGAATGATGTAAGCAGAAATGTCTCAGCACAGACAAGTGTTTTTGTTTAAAATACTGCTTTTTTTTTTTTTCAGAAAAGCCATTTCCCTTGGAATGAAGAGAGATGCATATAGGATAGAAATTTATGGAATCTGAAAACGGACATTTTTAAGATGGAGGGAGTTGTGGGATGGAAGAAAACACTAAGGGCTTTGTTTTTATTAATGATTGAGATTTCTGTAGAAAAAACAGAAGGCAATGGATGATTTGTATTTTTATCACTGTTGCAGGGTCTCCTTTTTGGTGTCTACTGGATATTGTTCCCATAAAGAATGAAAAAGGAGATGTAGTTCTTTTTCTGGCCTCATTCAAAGATATAACGGATACAAAAGTGAAGATTACTCCAGAAGATAAAAAGGAAGGTTGGTACCGTTTTCAGAAAACATTGACAGATGGAGTAACATTTTGAAACTGTTTACTTTAAAACTCTTGGAGAAAAAAATGCATTTTTAATGACAGCAACTAATAAATATTCAAAACTGTTAGCAGTCAGTATTCGGTACATATTTCAAAATCACAGAGACTCACATGCATTCACATTCTGTCGTCTTTATAATAAAGATTCACTTGACAGGAACTAGAAGTTCGTATTCCTATGCTAATAGCATGAGGATGAAAAAACAGTTTTTCACAATATAAAGATTAACACCACTTTGTTGTATCAGGCAAAAATTAATGAATGGGATAAGTGACGTTAAGAGGATGTGATCAAAATTACATCTCTCTGTTTCCTCTAGATTGCTGCAGCTCAAATTTAGATGTGCAAAATTTAATTTTGTACAAAATTAAAAACTCTAGCTTAGTGGTTGTTGGAATAGACTGTTGCAAACAAATGTGAATCCTGCACCTTATCATATATAACAATGATACTTTGTTTTAAGACATAAACAAGCTTTTCAGTTATCTTTAAAGGAGTCTAAGAATTTGTGTTGTTTACCTTGTATCTTCTGTTTATAATATATTAAGAAATTCCTTGCATTTTATATAAGCTGACAAAAGTTAACACTGAAAAAATGCTGATATTATTTCTTTTAAACAGAAGTAGGATTCTAGTCAGCAGAGAAAAAGCAGTCATTCTGTGTGGATTTCCTAAGTAGTAAGTTCTTTTATAGAACCAGCTACTTGACATTTCAACAGCTATGTCTTTTTAGGAGTAGGCTCTTTTATTTCAGCTCTTTATTTAAAATAGGTATGATTGTTTTCAATACCTTATGTCTCTTGAAATGACAACCCAAATGAACAGCTATTATAGTTTGGTACTCTCATTTCTAGCATTTGAAATCCTTGCAAATGCATGTCTGTTTTGCTCTATATTGGCATGACTAAATTCTGTGATTTATTTTACATATGCAAGGGAGATCCACCTAAAAATTAAATTTACTTCAATTTTAGAGTAAATGTAGTACCTGTCCAATGTAAGTTCCACGAAGATACATATGGAACTTGGTGTGTACAGTTTTTGGTTTTAATATTTTCTTTGTAATACAGAAATATAAAGGGTAAGGATTTTTTGAATAAAATTATTCAAATATATATATAGTCATATTATGTACATTCACAAATATGTGTGGATAAGTAGAAACATAACGCAGTCCTTAGAAAGAAGTACATGGCTTTTTTTTTTTTGCTTCAAAGGAGGCAGTTTTATTAACCTTTAACTGACTTGTTTTGATATGAGGACCATGCCTAATGGTTTTATACAAATTCTTTAATCATCTTTGTCTTATGTTCCTTATGTGTCTTGATAGGGGAGAAATCCCCATCCTGGTGGACTGCAATGAATAAAATCAGTGAAGACGACCTTTTCATTTGGAGTTTGAGAGAGCTCAATAAAAATACTCATTTTTACCACCCATGTTCTGAATCAGCTGAAAAAGAAAAATGAGTAGATTGGAGACCAAAATATACCTTTATTTCTGATGAAACTTATAAAGAACAGGAAATATCTCTACTTGCAAGTAGGCTTCCTTCTAGTGAGCTCTAGTTTTAGGCAAAGTTGTCCCTCAGTCACAAAGCTAGACTGAGGCCAAAGCAGAGCCTCTCACTATGTAACTTAATGTCTGGAAGACCAGAGCAGAACAGTTGCTCCCTAAGGAGAGGGAAGACAAAGCATACATCCTGTACATGTCCATATCACCTTCCAAACTTAATCAAATTATGTTTTTCTTCTATCCCTGGAAATAACTAAGTTAAGGAGCACAGAGAGGCTAGCATGTCACACTAGTAGAGCTGCTTGCACTTGAAAGATTACACCTGTCATTTGGAAGTGAAGGACATACATTTGAACACTGTGTAACCAATAAAAAACTAAGCCAAAGTTCTATCTTAAAAATAAGTGTCACGTTTGTATTTAAGTAGATCTATTAAATTGTGCTCAATAATACTCTAATTTTGTTTAGGGAATACATACAATGTAAAGACTATCTCTTACAATAAAATAAAAATATCAACAAGACACTTTTAACATTAATTATATTATGCACAATGTGATTTAATTTTTTTTGAAATATTTGCTAGCAAGTCCCTAGATATTATCTCAACATTATCTCATAAGAAATTATTACTTCTAATATATATTAAATGCTCAAGAACAGTTTTTTCTATTGCTACCTTATTATAAATGTCCCGTAAAAGTATACAGCATTTTTAGAGAGACAGAGTAACTATTGTAAGTCACCATGCTTATAAAATGATAATTTAAAAATGGCCAACAATTTGGGAGGCCAAGACAGGAGGACTGCTTGACAACAGAAGTTTGATACCAGCTTGAGCAACATAGGGAGACCATATCTTTACCAAATGACAATAAAATAAAAAATTATCCAGGTCATGGCGGTCCACACTTGTGGTCCCAGCTATTTGGGAGGCTGAGGTGAGAGGATCACTTGAGCCCAGGAGGTGAATGCTGCAGTGAATGGTGATCACACTTCTGCATTCTAGCCTGCGTGACAGAGTGAGACCCTGTCTCAAAAAAAGAAAACAAAATGGAATATATATATATATTTGTACCTGTACTTAATGGAGAAAAACACCTTAAAATTCACTAATTGATAGTATGTCTTACAGTTAAAACTCATCAATTGATGGCATGTCTTGCAGGAAAGGCATACCCTAACATATGATATTGTTAAAACTTCCAAATGAGTGTTTGATTATTAAACTGTCACCACGTAACTGTAGCAGTATTGTGTCATAACATTAAAAAACTAAATGAGTACATGACCTGACCCAGTGTTGCATCTTCTGCAAATGCATCACTGAAGTTCATCTAAGTTGTATAAATAAGGTTCATGTTAATTAAACTAATTAATACTGAGGTTCATATAGTGGACTGCATTTAAGAGATATAGATGGCATGGACTTCTATTAAAATAGTTTAATCATTTACCTATGTTTTGGGGGAGTTTATTTTAAACAATGAAGAACACGTTTTACAGAAGAAGCTAACAAGCTATGGATACAACATAGGCCTTTCATTAACGAACAGCATTCTTGGAAGATTAGCACAAAATTCAAACTACTACTTGTATGTACAATAGCTTTCAGCTAGTGGATCTGAGGGTGTGTGTGTGTGTGTGTGTGTGTGAGAGAGAGAGAGAGAGAGAGAGAGAGAGAAAATTCAGCAGAAATATGATGGTTTTTATAACTTTTAAAACTACCTTTCTTTTTGGCACATATTTTACTTCTATTCCAAAAATAGTGTGTATGTCACTAATTTCTATGCCCATGTCAAGTGTTACTTATGGATTGAATTTAATATGAGGCCCTGTTTATATCTTCCTTTATCAGTTAAGAAGTATTTTGATATAAAATTCGGATTTATATATCAACCAGCTTGGCAATTGAGGTTCTTTTGTTGCTGATCAGATATCTTTGCTGGTGGTTAAATATATCCTTATTATTAAAAAATTAAGAAAGAGGGAGGCCGAGGCAGGTGGATCACGAGGTCAAGAGATCGAGACCATCCTGGTCAACATGGTGAAACCCCGTCTCTACTAAAAATACAAAAAATTAGCTGGGCACGGTGGCGCGTGCCTGTAATCCCAGCTACTCAGGAGGCTGAGGCAGGAGAATTGCCTGAACCCAGGAGGCGGAGGTTGCGGTGAGCCGGGATCACGCCATTGCACTCCAGCCTGGGTAACTAGAGCGAAACTCCGTCTCAAAAAATAAAAATTAAAAAAAAATTAAGAAAGAAAAAGAATGTCTACTTAATACAAGAAGCCAGGGTAGGCAAAGTGTTTTTGGACACCAGGTCCTCAATGGTGGGGAAGGATTAGGAAAAACATTAACAGGGATGAGACCAGGGGGTCTTTGAATGGAGTGATTCAGAGGTAATTGTTTCCTTTGAGAGAAGAAAAATAGTCTCAGAAGGAAGCTTTAATTTTTTTAGTTATTAAAATTAAATCAATTTAATTTAATCAGTTTTTAAAATTATATTTAAAATTTAATATAAGTTTAAACGTGGATTAACAATGTATGAAATAATTCAAAAAATATTTGAGAACCCACTCTGAGCCCAGTATTGCATTAGCATTTGAGAATGTCAAAATGAAGACAATATGCTTGAAAACATCTTAGGTCTCAGCCTAAATCCTTTCCACTGAATGTTGGCTGTTAGGCCTTCTAGAAGCTGCTTATGTCTCAGAAACTAAGTTTCCTCATCTATAAAATGAGATACCCATACATATCTTCTACATTCGTTATAGGTTTATAAGAGATAATATATACAATTAACATAGCACAGGAATGCAGAATGCACTCAATAAAAGATATGGTCATGGTTGTTACATTCTATGGAATTTATAAAAACACCTAGCTCTTGTTGAGTCTCTGCTTCATGCTAAGTGCTTCACATAGATTACTTCAGTTACTTCTCATAATTCTGTGAAATAAGCATATTTCTGTTCCCATTTATTGATGAATTAAAATAACTTGATAAAATAGACATAGTAAAAAAAAAAATGGTAACCTAGGATTTACACTACTGCAGCCAAACCTCAGAGCCTACATGATGCTTTTTCTCCCTCACTGCCCTTCACAAAGTGCTCATAATCTTATGATGAACACAGATCCAGTATTTGCAATATAGTATGTTCAGTGATAGTAGAATGACAGAAATAATAAATTCTTCTCAGACAAGGAAACAAGATAGGGTGAGTCAGTAAGAGGCAGAGTGGAGTCAGGAGAACTTCATAGGAGAAATAATATTGAAGCAAATCTTGAAAGATAATTTGTGTGTGGATTAAGACCTAAAGGAAAGAATGTTAATTTTAGGTGATGAAACAGCAAGTAGTTGACCTTTGTTCATTAGAAAAGTCATGAAGTTGAAGTTAAACCCTAAGGAGTTTTGGTGGCATGCAGA